TTCTGAGTTTTGGTGATTTTCCCAAAATTGGCCACGAGGCGCAGCAAGTTGCGGGACTAGGTGACTTGCACCATATAACTATCATATTTGCGGATCCTGGTGTTACACATCAAAAATCCCTTTAAACTTTTATGTTACATCAGATGATTTTAAGGGAAGTGAATATTCGAATACAGTCACTATTTGGGTAGTAGTAGGCTTTCTTCGCGTCATTATTTCGCGAATTCAAAATATTTTTGGGTCGCGGTATTGTTCTCGATTAGAAATAGAAATTTCTTCTATTTCCATTATTTGTATTAATAATAGCAGAATTAGTAGTGTGTCACCCGACAAATAAAAATAAATCCATCATCATTATCATCTTTATTCAGTAAATTTGAATACTTTGAACATATTTATTCCTTTCTTTACTGAAGGTTATTTTTCTTTCAATTAAATAAAGCTTCCTTTTTTGAAGTGAAGAGCTAAAACCAAAGTCAAATAGAGATCTTTTTTTTTTGACAAAAAAAATAATATAAAATAAAATTTGGTAATTTTAGAACGTGATTCACTTCTTGTTAAAATCTCGCGTACAACCTATACAGATAAAAAATCATATTGTTTCCACAAAAAAAAATAAAAAAATAAAAAATATTGTTTCCACAAAAAAGAAAAAAAAAAAAAAAAATAATAATAATAATAATAATAGTAAACATGAGTAGTGTTAGTAGTAATAGTAGTAGTAATAGTAATGGTAATGGTAATAGTAATGGTAATGGTAATAGTAATAGTAATGGTAATGGTAATAGTAATAGTAATAGTAATAGTAATGGTAATAGTAATAGTAATAGTAATAGTAATAGTAATCAAGCAAATACAAATGAAACCGATTTTAATCCTGTGACTGTTATTACCACTTTATACCAGCAACATCTAAGATACAAAACTGAACCAAGATTCACACCTACTCAAAACAAAGAACTAAAATTTAATTGTGTTCTTAGATTTGATGATCAAAAATGGAGCACTAGGCAGGAACACATGAAGAAACGCAACGCTAAAAGGGATGTTGCAGAACAAGCTATGATTTACCTTCAACGCAAATACCCGGAACAATTGCGAAGAACTCAAAGATACATGGTTGAAGCTTTCACGCCAAAATATCAACCCAGATTAGAAAAATATGGAAAAGGAGTTCAACAAATGGCTAGTGGATTACATTGGACAGAAATGATACCAAATGTTAAAAAATGGTATGATGAAATATTAAAACCAAATTTTCCACCATGTCCCCGTACTCTATTACATGAACTGGTTCAAAAGTACAATCTAGGAGTTGTTACATACAGAGAAATTAAGAATCTACCTATTCATGATGAAGATCCTAGCGTTAAATTTATTGTTGTTGATGTTGGGAAAAGAAGATTTAACCCAACATCAGTATTTGATAAAGCTCAATATAGATATGCCAAGGATCATGTTGCAATGATTGCTTTTGAGATCCTTTATGAAGAAATAGAATATGAAGAAAAGAAGTTGATTGATAACATGGATCTTGACTATCAAAGGTTAATTGGAAATGTTATTTTTATGGAAGATTGGAAAAAAATTACACCACATGGATCATATAAAAATATAACTAATTATCTTGGAGTTCCAGTTGAAGAAGAGGTTCCAAATGATAATAGTGATGATGAAGTAGAAAAAATAACATATACAACATCAAAAACACTAGCACTACTGTATCCATCAATGTTCAGTGAGAGTGGTCATAATAAGACTAGTAAGCCTCCTGTCACTGTCACCATTACTAAACCAACATTTGAAAGATCACAACAACGTTATAAACCATATAAACCACCAGTTGAAAGATCAGCAAGGCCACAACAACATTATGAGCTGCATAAACCAATATTACATGTAGACAAGACATTCATTTCATTGATACATGAGCTAGCAGACAAGAGACATTGGAGAAAACCAGAATATGATTATCATAGGTTGGCTGATGGTGGCTGTTATGCTACATTATCAGTAAATAATTATATGTTCACTGGAGGGGTTTATGCCACAAGACATAGTGCAAAGGAGGATGTGAGTCAACAGGCATATGATATATTAACGAAATAATAATGTTTTCATGATGTTATTTTATTAAACCTTTCAAAATGGAATTAGTAAATTCATCAAGGCTTGGGATTTTTAAAATTATAATATAAATTGTGCTTTTTTTTTCATAATAAATTTGCTAAAATATTCAAATACATTAAAGATGTTGGCCAATAAACAATTTATTCAAGCTTTTGAATATCAATTAAATGACTATTAGTAGAATATAAAGATTTTTGGTTTTCCATTGCATAATTATGCTAAATTTACAATGAGATACCTTCCTTATGAAACATTGAGCAAAATTTGATTTTTGGCCAATGTTTTTATAAGAATGAATGAGCATAAAAAAATTACATAAATCAACCTATTGTAATTTAATATTTTCTTTTTTTTCAAAAATAGTTTGGACCAGAAACCTTAGTTGTGTTTGAGAGGCAAAAAAGTCAATACTAAAATTAAAAGTTATATAGAACTAAATCAAAAGTCAAAAGCCAAAACTAGTTTTGACTTGTGGTGAAGCACAATATCTACTGAAAAAAAAAAAAGAAGCTGATGCCATTTGACAACGCAGAAATAGAGGCAAGGAAACTGATGAACAGCATCAGAAACAGCACCAAAAAGATGCTAAAGCCCATCATCAGCAGCACATCAACAATCCTCAGCTGCATAACTTTGCCCAGGACTTTTCTGAGGATGCAAATGTACCCATTTTACATCAAATTAATGTCACTAGCAGTACTACATGTAGTCACTGTAATGCATTCAAGTTTCCTCCAGAAAGTCCTGGAATGTGTTGCTCCAATGGAAAAGTAATATTAGCAGAACCCAATGTCACCTTGCTTCTGCAGAATATTTTTTCTGGTCAGAACAATATTTCCAAGCATTTTCGGGATAATATTCATCTTTGCAATTCAGTGTTCACATTCACCTCTGTTGGTGTCAAGTTTGATCATTAACTTGCTAATACAAATACTGGTATTTACACTTTTTGTGTTCAAGGTTCATTCTATCACAGAATTGGACAACTACTACCAGAACCTGGATCTCAACCTCACTATTTGCAGATTTATGTTTGGGATACTCAACATGAACTGCACCATCAAGCAAATGTTGTTCCTAATTCCAACCTTAACTCAACTATTTTACAATCTTTAAAGGACATGCTTGATGAAACAAACCCCTATGTTACTAATTTTCAATACATTTCTAATCTACCTGCTGAAAATATTGGTAATCAATCCATGGTTATTTGTGCTGATATTCCTGGTCTTAATCAAAGGACTCACAATGCCCCAACAGCATCCCAAGTAGCAGCAATCTGGATTAATGATGACATTCCCCAAAATGTGGCTCAGAAACGTGATATTGTATTGTATACACAGATGGATCAGCTTATTCACATCTCTGAGCTTAATGGATGCTATGATCCCTTAGCTTATCCACTTTTGTTTCCACATGGTGAACAGGGATGGGCTCCTAATCAAATTCCATACAGAGACATTCTTTCTGTCCCTGAAATGATGGATATTGATGAAAATCCTAATGATGAAAATAAACACAACATGGAACATGAGCATGATAATACCGGAATACAACATAGGAAATTTGTGAGTACAATGGAGTACTATGCATATCAATTTCAGATTTGGCCCAATTCCACCAATCTGCTTTTACAAGCAGGATGGCTTTTCCAACAGTACGTAGTTGATATGTATGTCAAAATTGAATCAGATCATTTAAACTTTCATTGACAGAACCAAAACAAAATCTGAAGTAATCTGTACCAAAGTCTTCAAGATGCAGTCTTGCATGGTGACAATAATCCACAACACATAGGTCAGAGAATACTACTCCCTTCTGTGTTCATTGGGAGTCCTCGTGACATGATGCAGAGATATCAAGATGCAATGGCCTTGATGCACATTGGTAGACCTGATTTATTCATAACCATGACATGCAACCCAAACTGGCAGGGAATTCAAATTCTGTTGCAACCTGGACAAAGGGCTCAAGATCGACCAGATATCACAGGTACTTTTTTTATCATATTATTACTTGACTAATTCATAACACCACATTAATGAATTCTTTTTGCTTTTCATTATAATCATAGCATGGATTTTTCAAGAGAAATTTCAAGAGTTAAAGAAAGATATTTTTGAATGTGGAGTCCTTGGACAAGTCATTGCATACATACATGTCATTGAGTTTCAGAAATGGGGTCTTCCACATGCACACATTTTGGTTATACTCCACCCAGAAGATAAACCACAAACTCCTGATGACTATGATAGTATTGTCTGTGCTGAAATACCTGATCCAGTAGTCAATCCCAATGTGCATGCCACAGTTGTTACCAACATGTTCCATGGACCATGTGGAGAGCTTAATCCCAATTCACCATGCATGGTTGATGATGGTACAGGGCACAAACGATGTTCCAAAGGATATCCTAAGCAATTTAGGGATGAAACTCTTCAAGGAGAAGACTTCTACCCTGCATACCGTCGCAGACAAGATGATCATTATGTTAAAGCAAGAGTAGGAAATCAAGAAATCCTGTTGGATAATTGATGGATTGTCCCTTACAATAAATTCCTTTGTGCAAAACACAATTGTCATATCAATGTAGAGATCTGTGCCAGCATCAAGGCAATAAAATATTTATTTAAGTATGTCTATAAAGGTCATGATAGAGCAATGATTGAAATACAAAATCAGCCAGTTGTGATTGATGAGATTTGAGATTTTGTTGAGGCCTGCTGGGTTTCAGCTTCAGAAGCTGTCTGGAGGATTCTGGGATTTGATATGAGTGGAATAAATCCTGCTGTCACACATTTGCAGGTACATCTTCCCAATCAACAAAGAGTTATTTTCAATGAAGATGTTAATTTAGTAGTAGTTGCAACCAGTCGAATTCAACAAACATCACTCACTGAATACTTTAAAATGAACAATCAAGATCCAGATGCAAGGAACTTGCTCTATTCTGATTTTCCCATGTATTACACATGGAATAAGGCAACCAAATCATTAAAAAAACGTCAGCATGGAGGTTGCATTGGAAGAATATACATGGCTCATCCAAGTGAGGGTGAGTGATATTATCTTCGTTTACTGTTAACAAAGGTGAAAGGAGCCAGGAGTTTTGAAGAACTTAAGATTGTAGATGGTGTTACTTGTGCCACTTTTAAAGAGAGTGCTCAATGGAGGGGTTTCCTAGAAAATGACAATGAATATCAACAATGTATGACTGAAGCTAGAGAATTCCAGATGCCTAGCCAACTACGTTATCTTTTTGCAACATTATTAGTCTTTGGAAATGTTTCAGATGTACATCAACTATGGACTGAGAACCTTGAAGCAATGGCAAAAGATTTTGCACATAATGGAATCCCAGAAGGTGAACTCCAAGTTCAGGCAGTTCTTCAAAACTTGAATATGTTCCTACAAAGGCATTCAAAGACTGTAGCTGATTATGACCTGCCAGAATTATCACCAGAAACAAATGTTTTGGGATTGCTAAAAACTCTTCTAGAAGAATTATCCTATCATGTCACCTCAGATGATCTTGCAAAAGCAAATATATACATTAAATGAAGCCCAACGTGCAGTATTTGTTGAAATACAGAATCTCATAAACCAAAACAAAGGAGGTGTATTGTTTGTTGATGGTCCTGCTGGAAGTGGAAAAACCTATCTCTATGATGGCCTCCTTGCCTATGTACAAGCTAATAATAGGATTGCGTTGGCAGTAGCTTCTTCTGGTATTGCATCATTATTATTGCATGGTGGACACACAACACATTCTTGCTTCAAGGTACCAATTCCAACAGGAGAGACCATTCTGGGAACACAAAAATTAACAGGAGGGAACACAAAATTTTAACTCATGCTATTTGTTGATTGACCAATTAAAATTGCGAATTTGATAAATGTAGAAATAAATATGGGTTTGATTCATTTTGTCAACAATCACTTCACCAACAATTGTTACATTAATGAATTTAAGAAGTTGGAAGCAACCATTGAAATAGTCTAATAAATTAAATTGTACTACTTGAAAATGTATTTAAAGGGTTGGTTTTTGACTTGGTCGGATAATAACTCTCTTCCTAACTCTTCTCTTGACCATATCTCTCGATATAATCAAAATAACCTTAATATAACGAATGTCAA